TCTTAAAAAAAAAAAAAAAAAAAAAAAAAAAAAAAGAATAGCTCAAGGGGATGATACTGATATCTACAACTGCCTCTTTGAGAATCTGTAGAGGAGGATGAGCCAGACTTCTCAGAGGAATACAGCAAAAAGACACAGATAACAAATGTGCAACAATGGAAACTTCACCTATAAAAGGAGAATACTTTTTTCCTCGAATGTGCAACAATGGAAACTTCACCTATAAAAGGAGAATACTTTTTTTTTTTCCCCCCTCAGGGTAGTCAAACACTGCAATGGAAGCCTGCAAACACTGGAGATCTCCAACCTTGCAATCTTGGAAGTATTCAAAGCTCAACCACACAAAACCCAGAGCAATGTCCTGTAAGTGATCCTGCTATAAACAAAAGGTTGGACCCAATTGCTTCATACTCCCAACCTAAGTTTTATCCCTGCTGTTCTTAAAAAAAGTTTCCTTAAAAAAAAATAGTCAAGTTCTTTTTGGACAGAAGTTCAATACAAAACCCAGAGCAATGTCCTGTAAGTGATCCTGCTATAAACAAAAGGTTGGACCCGACTGCTTCATACTTCCAACCTAAGTTTTATCTCTGCTGTTCTTAAAAAAGTTTCCTTAAAAAAATAGTCAAGGTCTTTTTGGACAGAAGTTCAACATTATCAAGAACTTCCATAAATTATTTTCAAACAGACTTCACACTTAAGTTCAAGTGCAGGGCTCTTGTAAATAAAGAGTTTCTCTTGCTCTGTACATCTTTAGTACAAAACTATCATAATGCTGGTGAAAAAGGATGTCCTCCAGATGCTACTTTCACACTAGCTTCAAAAAGCCTGTCTGTAATCTTTTTTAGACCATCACCTGATACGTCATCATATTAACCAATCTTAGAACCAGAAGTTCTAAAAAATAAATCATATGCAGTCAAAGATACAAAAAAAGAACTGGTATACAAGAGAGGAAATAGACAAAAGAACAGTCTCTCATACTTTACAGTGATCCTCAGACCACAGGAGTTTGCACAACAGAAAGTCAATAATCTCTAGAGATTTTAAATATATGTATGTAAACATTTAACTTACAATTATATATTATACCAAGCATGTATTCAATTTTCTGTTATGACTGTCCTACATTGTTGATTTCAGTAGGGTCACAACAGTATGCTCAGTTCTTCTTTCAGGCATGTTTTTTCCAATCTAAATTCACACAGATTTGCCATCAACTAGTTAAAATTAGGAAAAAATGGTTTAAACTGGAAAAAATACTACATCATTGAACAGAAGTCAGAAAACAGCTTTACTGCATCAGCTGATAGGCTTACTAAAATTAGCAGGCAATACATCTGCCTGTCAGAGCACGGGACTAGAGCCAGTGACCCAGGAACACAGGGTTGGAAGGGACCTCTCAGCAGAGATTTCTGGGCACATAAGGCACACCAGTAAGTCCAGCTCTGTCACCTGGAGTCTGTGTGTTCACCACTGCTTTTATGAGCTTTGCTTTTTCCAACGTTAAAGCAGATTTTCACATTTCATCACCACCTGCCTCCAAAGGAGGTTGAAGGAGCAATGCTGCGACACTTCAGTGTGTTACTGAGCTCCAGTTGGTTGATGCTGTACTCTTTCTGGTGATCATTTCCAAAACTGTACTAGAAAGATCCCTTAAAAACAAAGTTCTGCTCACACAGATGGTAAATGCACAAAATCAAGCTGTTGGAGCTATCCTGTTGCCAACAAGTGAGCACACAAGATGTGAAAGGAACACCCAGAGTTACTGGAGAGCTATCACAGGAATTCAGGCCCACAAAGCATGCCTGTTACCGAGATCAGAATTCCCTACAGGTTCCAATAAGAAGCAGATTTTTGTTTCTGAAACACCACTTGTTTTCAATTACAGCCATCTATACCTTCTGCTAACATTTTTCTGAGATGAGACCTTGTACCTGACAGTATATCCATCTTCAGAGCACAGCTATGACAGACCTGCTGAACCCAGGATATTCCAGGAAATTAATCTCTCTCCAGCTTTCCTTCTGTTCAGCACCTTATTCTTCAAAAAAAAGATATCTGGAAAGAAATAAATTAATTCCCTGCTTTCCCAAATATCATTGCCACCATGATCCTAAGAAAGCATGCATGAACATATCTTGATGACTGAAGTTGGAAAAGTTGCATTGCTATATAGAACAGAAAAAAAAATGACAGAAGATGACAAAACAGAAGCTCTGTAGAGGCAAGCCTCCTGTAGGAGCTAAATTAGGTGTTCCAGGTTGGGTTCTGCCCTGGCTCTCACCAGTCCAGTCCTTGACTGCAGAGCAGCAGTGTCCAGATCAGCATACCAACCACACTGACAGTGTGGATGACTCCACTTTCCAGGAGTGGGAAAAGGAAAAGCCATTCCAAAAGTCTGGGAAGCCTCACACAAGATCATAACGTATCCAAAACTGAATTGAAACAGGAACTAGCCTATCTACCCCTCTCAGTGTTAGAGACCTGACCTCAGAAGGATCTTCCATCCCTGTAAATTATCCCAACAGTCATACATGGGATCTACCACTGGCACTCATTTCAACAGCTGTATCTAAGCATCCACCTTCTGTTGCACTTGATATAACAGCTTTGTTTTGTGCAGCCCTTTTCCTTTCCATCTCCAGCTCCTACACCTCGCTTCAGCCAAGGTTGTAGGCTGGCTTCTCAGGACTCCAGAGACCCAGTTTCCCATGCCAATATTAAACTGACTGAAATAGATTCATCTTCACGTGGTCTCAAGGAGTAACAGTTCTACCTGAAAAAGTCACTCTGCAGTTAGGAGAAAATCCTCGGCTGAGAAGGCTCACAAGAACAGCAGACCCCACTGCACATGGAAGCATGCAGAGGCACTTTGGATAGCAGGTAACAGGTGACTGGTTTTGTCAGTCCCAAGTTGCTTCCTCTACATCTGTGATGATGTCTCATGCAAGCAGGTAAAGAGATTTCGGTGAAGCATAAAATGCTTTAGGTATTCTCTAGACATACTTTGAGCATCATAGCCCAACAACTATCATAGTAGCACAGAAAAATATCAACTTTTTTTTTTCCCCAAGAGGAACCCTTTATCCCTGACATTATTCCAGGAATAACGGAAAGTACGCCTTCTCTACAAGCTGCCACAAGCCTTCTGAGTACACTTTTAGAGTGCTTAAAAGATGACAACTTTTTTTTCAGGCAAGAACAAATTAACAAATTACATTCGTTTATCTTTCTTCCCTCCTCCTTTTTTTTTAAAAGTATATTTTACTACCAGATAAGGAAATATTTTTAAAACTTCTTTCTGTCTTTTTTTTTTTTTTTTTTTTTTTTAAAGTATATTTTACTACCCAATTTGGACAACTGGCCTTTATTGCAAGAGAAAGAAAAATTCCTTGAGAATGCTTTTGTGTAGAGGGAGGGAGAAAAAAAAGTATACTCTACAGGAATCAGTACTGATAAGACAGGAATTGTTTGGCCTTTTTGAACTGATTCGATGCACTGCTCTTTATAGTGCCAAGCAGAGACACCAGGTGATGAGTCCAGCTGGTATGGAGAGGGAGGAACAGGAAAAAAGCCTGATGATTTTACTGGAAATTTCCCCTTCATATATTTCCCACTTCAATGAACCTTGCTTCCCTGGTAGGAATGAAACAGGACTCAAGAGTACTAGGAAGTACTAAAACTGGGTAGCAACTTCTCTGTCTTTCAAGACTGTGGATGCATGTGTTCCTAAAGCCCTCCGTGCTCTATCTTCTACCTTTCTCAAAGAACATACTGGCTTACAGCTTAGAACTCCATGGGAATTCAGGTAAATTTCTCTTAGTATTACACAAGACATGTAGGAACCCAGTTGAGGTTGTGGATCCACAGTTAGTACAAAGAATTAGAAGGGTTTAGGAGGAAAAAAACCTTACAAAGGGGTTATGAGACAACAAATAACACTGGGAGTGTCCATCACTGTTCTCAGATGTAGCTTTCGAAAGGAAGTGGCACTTTGTTGTCAGGAGCCTGTGACAACTCAGTGCGGAACTCTATAATGACACACCACCCTTCCACATTCATTTTTACAGTTTTGAACACAGGAAAACACAATTTATCTCCTAGTCCTAATTGTCTTGCTCTGAAGACTAGAAGCAAGACAGACTATACCTTCCATAAAAGCAAAAGCAACCTCTCCAAAAGCAGCACCTCTTACAGGACAGAAACACCTTCTGCCACTGTCTTCACCTGAAAGTGGAAGGACAGCAGTTGCTGAAAACACCTAACACTGTTCACATTCCACTTGACTGCCACCCTCCTGTGCTCCTCCCTCCCCCCATTCAAATGGGGTCTTGAAATAAATTAAGGTCACACACATCAATAAAAACAACAGTACAATTAGAGAGCTTTCAGACTCACATGAAGTATTTAAAACTCAGAGAAATAATATCAAAAGACTGGCTAAGTCACCAGCTACTAATGAAGCAGAGAAAAAATTCTCTAACAAGATGGATGTTTTCTTGCTGCTTATAGCAGTCAGATACAATCCTGAACCTCAAATACAAGCAAGCAGAAGTATTCATTGTAGCACAGACATGCATGCTTCTATTAAAAGAGAAAACATAATGCAAATAGAAGAAACCAGAACAGAACAGGAGCACCAAATCCTACTCTCCTCGGTTACACAGCGTGTCAGAATTCCATGTCAGACTTTGTTCTAGGATAAACTCAAAAGGTCACCAGTGTAAATTAAAAATAATTCCTCCAAAATTAGTACAACAGTATCATTCTAAGGAAAACAGATGTTGACTGATACCATGGGATATTTTGTTCAGGTAAGGAAATCTGGCTCATAAGTAATAACAGTCTAAACATCTACTGAAATCTTACAGTTAAAACAAGAAGCTGTTTTAAAAAATCTGTGACAGTTTCCGAGTATGATTTTTTGAAACCACTTGCAAGGAACAGCATTTTATAAATCTGACATACTGAACTTCTTTGAAAGCAAAGAAAACACTTACTGTGGTTGTGTTTGCTGAGTTAACCCAACAGGAGGCTTCTGCTTGATTGTGAATGCCATCTGAGCCACAGGGCCAACCTTTGGTGGGACCTGCACCTTCTGAGAGAAGCTCTGCTGGGCAGCCTGCTGGGGTATGGGCCACGGGGGAACAACGGGGCTCCGGCCGCCAGGGGAAGATGTGTCTTGCACGACTGTATCCTCACAGGAGCTACCTTTTGTTCCTGGTTTACACACACAAAGCTGAGGTCGCAGGCACATCCCTCCATTTTGGCACGGTGGAGCACAGTTCGCTAAGAAAAGACATTTTAAAAAATACCTGTGAAACAAAGCACGAAGGAAAATGCAAACCCTCCCCACAACAAAAAAGGGCATTAATTGATTAATTCTTAATATTAACTGGAGTAGGAGAGAGCAACACTGCTAAGCTCCACAAAAGATAATATACAAGTTGGTACAGCTTTTACTGATTTCTAGCACATCAGACATGTGAACAACTTCAAGAACTGAGATGCTGGATTTAAAAAATAGGAAATGCACTACTTAACTTGAGAAATATAGCATTATTTCAAATCTTCCTCCTTTCTGCTCAGCACACCTTCTCCTCATACTTTAAAACCCAAACTGCATCTGATGAAACAATACTACACAGATATAGAATTCTACTACTGATCTGGGCTGGGATTCATTTTACTATTTTAAAATCAGATGCTGCATAGGTACCCAGAATGAATCCCTACAGACACGTTATAGATCACCAAAACACTGCAGAGAAGAGTGACACAATTCACCCCTTCCCCCTCTAAAACCCAAATGGCATTCCCTGCAGTACCCCCACTGTAAGGACACAGGAGATGGGAACTGCTGCCACAAAGACACTGCTTACACCTAGGAAGAAACAGACAGGCACTTGTGATTATCCCCGACCAGCTTCTATAGATTCTTTGTATCATCAGTGAAAAGGGATCAGATTCTTTAAAATACACTTTGCCTTCAGAGAGGATTAATGACACTGCTTTACACAGCTCTGTCTAGTGACTACAGAGGGAGTCTGAATAACCAGCCTAGACCCAACACCCAGGTCATGCAGCACCAACTCCACTATGAATGAACAAGAAACTTGGAGGAGCACCAAATCCCACCCAAAACAATGGAAGGAGGGAGGAAGAAAAGCAAAAGCAACTGCTGATTATATATACATAATACTGCAAAGGTATGTCTATCTCGAGGATTTATTTATTTATTATTTATGCTGAAATTTGCATCACAGAAAGATGGCAAAACAAATTAATTATCTTATCTAATATAATATTAAAAGAAAGCAAAAAAATTTCTTCATTATTCACATTGAAGATGGTATACAATGAAGCATGTATAAGAAAAAAACATGGCTGAGCTACTTAGTTCCTACAAAGTGTATTTTTAACATTGTTAATGATATTTTAACACCAACAAACGAAAATAGGTGAGATAATATCTTGAACTATAACATGGGGTACTGAACCATACTCAGATCCAACTGAACTATTATTAAAAAAAAATCTGCCCACAGCCCTGGTCCAAATAGATTACTTGACATTTCAATCAAGTTCTAATATGTTCTTCTATACATAAAAATAAATACACAAGAATACATATGAATTAACTCATTAGGATGGGACTGTGTTAGTTTGCAGACCTAGTTTATCCACTGGCAGGTATACCATATATACCAGCTACACACAACACCAGAACTGCCCTACAACTTAAACCTGAGTTTTTCCTGGGATTTTTTCACACACATTTTCCCCTCCATGTAAAACTTGCCTTCTTTTCAGTAATACTTAGCTAGGCTACCTTAACTGCATATTATGCACCTCCCTGGCAACACAAAAGTAATAATTTTCCCACTCCTATTTATTTATTTTTGAGACTCTGTCTTGTCTTTGAGTCCTGGAAAACTAAAGATCATTTTCACTGCAAACTTGAGAAGGGATTTGCAACAAGCATATGCTGTAAGAGATATGCCAAATAGTCCTTGTGCCCTATTTATAAAACCTATATTTTGATAGAAACAGTGAAAATTCCTTTATATGCACATGACTGAAATAAATAATATCTTGGAAAATCCATTCAGGAGCCCAAATTCTAGTTAAATTTCAGTAGCCTTGGAGACTCCTGAGACCAGAATAGTGACCCCATCACCTGGGTCATTTGTATGGAATGTGCAAAGATCACAGTAAAGAAGTTGGACCCATTTGAGAGTGCTTCAGAAAAATATCTAAAAAAAAAATTCTTTATTAAAAGCAAGACTTTCAAAAGTCCCATTTTTACATTAAGAAAACATTAATATATTTCTGGAGATTTATGGACATGTGCCTATATTAACCTGTAAGTTTGTCAAGAAAATATTTAAAAATCAATGACAACACAGAAGTAAGCTAAGAAGACCACACCCAAAGTCAGTATGATATAAAACCCATTCTGGTAGGACACTGATGATGGCATGTCTCCTCTCAAAAGCGAAGTAACAATGTATACATACAAAAAAGACAACCCTGGAAAGACTGCAACTCTTTTTCCTGCAGTTAAGAACTAAAGTTCAGAAGCCTACAAAAACTTGAGTTTCTACTGATTAAAGTGAAGTTTGCAGAGAATTTAAAACTATAAAGCTAAAACCAGAACCTGTTTTGAAATTACCTCATATTTTTTGCCCACACAGACTTGAACATTCTTCCTTCACTGACAGTAATGTAAACCCTGAAACACATTACATGTACATGAAGCAAATGCTCTGCAGGACAAACTGCATTACTCAAGCTGGCCTTTAATGAAAGAACCATCAGGAGATCCAGCAACTATGTTATAAGACCAGTGACAGCAGGTAGAAAACCCCATCCATTAAATTTTCACAGCAATGATACTTTTGACTGAAGTCCTTCATTAATGTGGCATAATAGAAGATCACCAAACTGGATAAAAGATCATGTTTTTAGGAAAGCATTAAAATGAATATTTTAATTGACATAATACAGCAGTTTAGTTTCTAAAATGTTCAAGACGGCTGTAGTGTGCCAAATGAATGACCTAATTATTTTGTTTGAAGACAACAATAATGGCCCATAAAACTGAAAACACCAGTATTTTCCATAAAGCTAGGCTTCCAAAACCTGCAGCGTGGAAGCATTAAGTTCAAAACTGAAAAGCAGGCCAACATACTGCTGTTAAAGGCAATTGGCTTCATCCTATTCAATTCAAGGAGGTCATGACTGGAAATTCAAAATGGAGCTTGGCAAAGATGCAAATAATGAGACTAAGCTTAGTGGGTCAGATTAAAGACCCACTTAGTCCAGTGTTTTCCCTCCATTACTAAGGTGGATGCCTAAGGACAGGGTGAGACACAATAACATTTTATACCACTACAGCTTTTAAGAATTAGAGGCCCAGCAACTTCCTGAGCAAGAGTGCTGGTTTTGTGTTTAATAAGTCTCAACAGATTTTTCTGTCAGAGGCTGACTGATCTGCTCTTTGAGCTACCTCACTGCAACACCCAAACCCTGCAGTGCCACGGAAGTCAGCCACGTTGAAAGGCCAGGCAGAGACAATATAGCCAGTCTTCCCTCACTTTCCAGAAGTATGGTTTGTGGTGAGGTTGACCTGGGCTGGATGCCAGGTGTCCACTAAGCTGCTCTATCAGTACTCAGCTAGACAGGGGAAAGAAAATAAGACCAAAAACAACTTCTAAGTTGAGATAAAGCAGTTTACTAAAGCAAAAGTTTGTGTGCACGCAAGTAAAGAGAAAAACAAACAAAAAAAAACCCAACAAAAACCAGGTTTATTGGTGGGGGGAAAGGAATGTTGGGAGAAGTTGCTGGTGCTGTGCCAGTGCTGCTCAGCAGTAGCCAAAGCCCTGGAGTGTTACCAACTCCTTTCTAGGGACCAATGCAAAGCACAGCTCCAGTTCAGCCAGACCCAATACAGTGGGAAAGGCACAAGCATTGTCTTGGGTTGGTTGATGTTTTAAGATACATACAATCTGTATCTACTAAAAATAAAGCCACAGTGACACATTTGCTTTGGAAGTACCTAAGTCACAAAAAGCCCAAAACTGTACCCCAAAATGCTCATCCTTCTTATACATCTTTCCCTAGTCAACTACTGCTCACCACTCTCTCAGACAGACTACAACTGGGTTTGACAAAAGCATATCAGGCCCAGCATGGTTGTATTTGTGACATTCTTTCAGAATAGCAAGGGTAAAATAACATTAATAATAACATTAATGTTAGGTTTATACACACCCTTTCCAAAACATCTTATGTTGGTTTGGGACTAATCTATACATACACACTTTTCAGTCCATGTGCTCATGTCATTACAGTTAAAGTGTACATAAATATTTGCAGAAGAAAGACCTAAAATGAAAGATTTATAATAGTTTCAAAACACATAAATATTTTAAAACTTCTACATATACAGAAGGTAATTTGTTTCAATACATTCCAAATTAAGTATAATTCATATCTGGAATCAGTAAGCATAAAATGCTGTCATTTATGGAAGGCGTTTAGATAAAAATTTATATTTTTCCCTTCAAATGAATCAAAATACAAGTATAACTGACTCCACTTGTCCTAAAAATGTTTGTATTAAAATAATATTAAACTAACACTAATCCTTGGATTAAGATCATTACAATCTCATTCCTATTCTAATCCCTTCTTTTAACCTTCTCAAAAGTAACAACATATTTACAAGTTTATTTCCCTGAGCAGAACAGAAATCCACAAAAATGTATTTTACAGTGAGAAACTCACACTAAGGAAATTTAAATATCCCAAAAGTTTTCTGCACACAAATTTCTAGCCTTTTAGCCTCAGCTCCAACCTTTATGCATTTCCTTTAACAAGCAACTGCTGTTGGTTTGTACATAAATGTCCCCAAACATTTTTCAATGTCAGTCCTGAATTTCTAATACTTCAACACAACTACCATAACAGTGTTGCGAGTCTTATGCTATTTCTAATGCACCCATCCACCAGATTTCTTTCATTTTCCACATGAAACTTACCTTTTTTTTTCTTTTCCTCCTCTTGAGCACACATAATAGTTCAGCACCAGTTTAAACAAATTTCATCACTGTGCACATTGGCACAGTATGCATCAACTTCTCCCACAGGAGTGTGTAAATCCTGTCAGGCACAATACATGCCAGAGGCCAAATAATAGAAAATCCAGCAATTGGAAAGAGGATTTTAAGCATAGAGCTGTTTCAGATTCTAGCACAAAAATGCATCAAGTTTATAGAAAGGGG